TATAGCCTTAATATAGGCTGTGCATTAGTTTCTGAACTACCTTTTTATTTCTGCTTTGAATATTTCAGAACAATTTTCATGAGCATAGCTTTTAAATATAAATGTCAGGCTTCTCCTGTTGCAACTACCTGCAGGTATTTGGTAGAAATCTTCTTTGTTCCTTGTGGAACAGTGCACATTAAGTTTGCCTGTATTAAATCTTTAATTTGAATCAGTTCTCTTTTCTGTCATCCAGAAGCGTGCCGTCCAGAGTCCCTTGGCTGATGAAACCAAGTGGTTGATGTTAATTTGGCAAGCTCATGTCCCGCCAGTAAAACAGTAGACTAGCCTTTTTTTTCCCTGTCTTTCTTCCTTTCCACTTTTTTTTTGTTTATCCTCCTTTCCCTGTTGGTCACTACTCGCCTGCATTTATTTTCACACCCTTTCACTGAATGCTCAGATGTGTGTATCTCTTTTCATTACGAGTAGTGAAGGCTATACCAGTCAGGCTACAGTTGTCAAGTCCTTGTAATATTGCTCCTAATCCTAGAAAGTGCTGTATGCAACAGCAAAATTGCCCTTGTGACAGTGGAAGAATGCATAGAAAAGCATGAGATCTTTCAATTTACTGTGAATGGTTTCTACTGCCTTTATATTGACAAGATTACCCCCAGGGGGTCTGAGGATCACCTTAATTTTCTTCTTGGGGATGGTAGCCAGCGTGCGGCAGGTACCTGGGCAAAATTGCAGGTAAAGCAGAAGGTTTAGCAGTAATTACTATCTTCCACTTCCTGTGCAGTTTCATTTCTGTTCCTTCACCAGGCAGTGCTAACGCAACATGCCAGAAAAGTAGAGGAGGGAAACAACATGGGGTAAAAATCAAATATGAAAGCATATCTCTAGCCTAGCCATATCCAGGCCCAGGTGTTGAAATTTAGATTAGAAGTTTTGAAATACTCTTTTAGAAGCTATAAAATGCATATTGTAATTACTGTGCTGCTTAATTGAAACAGATTTAGTATTAATCTCAAGCAACTCCTAGCCAAATTTGGGCCTACGGATCACTCTTAAAATAGGCATGTCCTTTGTATCCTCAGAGCACTTCAAGTAATGCAGGAGCTACAGGGCAAAGCCTATTACTGTATTTTCTATCTTTGGCATTGCATGTTTGCTAATCCAGTGCTATGAGCATTAGTTTCCAGGACATTGTCTGAAATGGCTTTGTGAAGTAGTAGATGGAGTATCTGTCAATGAGACAGAGTAAGTTTCCTTGTAGGAACTACATGATCAGGTGTGAAAAAGTAATCATTGGAAGTGGGTCATCTTCCCCTTTTTCATGAATCTTTTGGCTGTTAGCTAAGTGGCTTGCGTGGTTGCAGTGGAAAGAAGGTAATCAACATAAATTTCATGTCTGTTTTTTAAAATTCTGACACCTGTGGATTTTAGTGTTTTACGAGTGGGCACAAAGAAAGCAGAGCTGCAGCATGCCAACTGTTTTCTGGCAACTGACCTTAGAGAAGGGTGGCATAAAGTGTGGAGAAATGTGTATATAACACATTTTTGATTGTTAGCATGGGAAGAATCAAATTTCAGAAGCACAAGTTTGAAAAGGATCATCTTTAACTTTTGTGCATGCTTAGTAGAAGATAGCATGTTTCTCAGCATGCATCTATCTCAAATTACTTGTGTTTTCTACTTTCCTATTACAGAACAGGTGGAAAAAGAGAAGGTGCTTTTTTCTTTTTAAAGCCACATCTTTCAGGTACCTGTGCCTTTAAAAACTTGAAAGTGAATTTTACTTGCTATTTGTTTAACAGTATTTCTTCAAGTTGCCAACAAAAAAGTCTAACTCAGTCAGTCTGTGTTCTTATTACTGTGAAGAGATTAATGAACTTTAGCACTGAAATACAAAAATAGTTAAATCTACTTTGAGCTGAGCTAGTAAGCTCTTTGAGGTGTGAACAGTATTTGTATCATGTATAGAAGGGCTGGTTTTGGCTTCAGAGTCCTGTGATACAGACTGCAAGGAGTATGCAAAATGAGAGAATCAGAACTAAACTTCCCATTTGTGCATCTAGAAGTCTGTGATGGCATTACAGAAATACTCGCTATAGCAAATGATAGACTTAGACCTTTCAACAAATAATGCATGCCTCCATACTTCTCCCCAGTGCATTGTTGTTAAAATATCTGGAAGCAAACTGGTTTAAAGGTCAGGAGTTGCAGATGTAGTGGATGGTGGCGGTTATAGGTATATCTCTGTGGTGCCTTTTGGACAGATGTGTGCTTGCTTCTCCTGTACTTCAGCAATGTCAGTGTACTGCTAAGCTGGTGCTGACAGATGCCAGTTGTTAGCATGGATGTGGCACCGCAGGAGCAGAAGCACGTGGCTTTTCGCCATTTCAGAGTGTGGGCAGAGGAAATGGGTCATCTTGGACTGCGACATGTAGAAATACTGATGTGCCTCCCGTCATTGCTTCTGCCTCAGGGAAGTGTCCTGAAGGAAAACATCCTGATGACAGTCTTGATCTTGCTCCTGCTTAGTGCTGCAATCAACAAAAGCATTAAGCTGTTCAGCTGAGAAGGGATTCCCCGCTAATGTAAACACAAAATAAGGAGTATTAGACTGAGAGTTAAAAATGGATTTGCTTGTGCTAAGATAGCTCTGGAGTAGTATTCCTACTTCTAAAACATGAGGTAAATAGAAAGTGTATCATCAGTGTCTTAGCAGAGCTAGGGTCTTCTTTTCATTGCAAATTAGATAGCATCATCTCCATCTATAGAGTATGTTTAGGACTTGTGTCTGCTTTTAGAAAGCCTCCGTTGTAAATCGTCAGAGTTCATACCTCTGGGATTGCACGAACACAGTGGTGACCTTGTCCATTCTGTCACTTGTAGAACATGCCTTTCGCAGCACTCCAAGAATGAGATTTTAGGCAAGTTGAATCATGATACAAAGCAATATCCAGCTACTCAAAAAGACACAGACTTTTTACAGCTGTATCTTTTCTTGAGGTTCTGAAGGAGTTCATGCAGAAGAACGGTAACTCTGTATTTTTCCTGATTAGTTTCCTCAGAAGATGAGAGTTGAACATCTGATGCTATGTGCTTGTGCATGTAGTACTGTGATAAACAGGATTATGGGACTGAAATGACTGAAAAATACTCCACATCTTTTTTTTTTTTTTGCGCAGTTCTCCGGTTACATCCACAACAGAGCCCCGAGAGTAGCTGTAGAGGAAGAACTGGAACGGTGAAAGAACTGCTTTGTTTGGCATTGTCACTGAGAAAATCACCTGTGAACATGACATAAATGCCTCTATTTGTAAATATGGGCTCTGAATAGAAGAAGTGATAGTAGTTTGTTAATCTAGAAGGAAAAGCTATGAGTCATTAAGATTTGGGGAAGTCAACTTCCTTCATAATGTTTAAATAATCTTGTCCAGCCCTTCCTGTATAAAATAGACATTTTTTGTCTTGTTTTTGTAGAGTGGCAAGGTGAAAACACAAGAAATTTGGTTTGATTTTCAGATCTGGTAACCATGTGCTGGGATTTTCCTTGCCAAGTGAGAAAATGAATTCATAAGGACTTATTTTTATTTATTACTGATAGGCATAATTTGGATGATGGAGTAAGGTTACTTTGACAAAGTCAGATTCAGAGGGTTTGAATGTCTGTCCCTAAGTGGCACATTGTCCTGAAAAGTATGATCAGCGATTCTATACCAATGTATTGGCAAATTCAAATGCAATGAAATAATCTGATATGAAGCCTCAGGTATATTGAAACTAGGGAAGTCTTGGTGATGGAACTTGAAAGCATTTTAACCCCACTTGATTAGGGTTTTCTACACAAACTGCAAATAATATAGGCTTGTCAAAATGTTCATCCTGGCTTTTGTTCTTCCTAAGTGAATCTATGTTAACAGCTGTTGTTCTTGATTTTATTGTGAGGCTTGATTCATGCTTGTCTTACTCAGGTTCTATAGCTAATGGTCCTGGTGAATTTTAGTTAGGCTGTCTTACCCAGAGAACTGTCAACACCATTCCTTTCTCTATTTTTCTCCAAAGTTTCAAGAAAAAGTCATTTTTTGTGAGTGCTCAGAGGTCACGGCTCTCTGCATATTGGTAAGCTCACCAGATTCGAGTCAGGATGCTATACTGAAGTGCTTTCCTGTTACCAAGAAAACAAAGGCACCATTGTAAAAGATAAGACAATAAAATGCACTGCTCAGTTTATACACCTGCAGTGATACCTGAACTCCTCATTTCTCCTCAGCTGTCCATCTCAATCAGGCATATTCCGTCACTACAAATTTCTGATCAATTGCAGTCACAGTGTTGAAAAAAACCCCAACAAACCCCAAAAAGCAACAAGAAAGAGTAAACAAAGCAATTTCAGAATTTATTCCTCCCAGTGTAGAATTTCCTGCCTGGAAACCCATGCTGGTGAAAACCCAGCCGTCATCCAGATCTGAGTCTCAGTTCCAGTAGGCGTTAATAGTGGAGGCTGTAATATGAGAGTCCTGCAAGCCTGTGTAGCCTGAAGACTGCATGGCTTATGTGACTCCTTTTTGAAAGGTGATTTTAAAAAATGTTCTATGGCTCATGCACCTGAAATTATCAACATAGAGCTTGAAAACTGATCCTGCAGGGAATGTTTTTTATGGATCACTGAAAAGCAAAGCAATGAAACTGTGTAAGGTGTCAGTGACAGCTATGATTCATAGTTTCTGATTAAAGCAATGCAGGATGTGCAACAGTATGTGGACAGCAATTTTGATATGGAAATGCAAAAATATTACAAAGTATATTCCTAAAAGCCATTTTCAGTGAGGTTTTAAACTCCAAAGTCAGAATATGGTCACCTCTGAGGTTATTTTAGTTACCCAAGGAGATATGGTTTGTGGGGATTGTTATTTTGTGGGGCTGTTTCTTGTTTTTGGAAGTCAAGCTTTTTTCTTTTCCTTCAGAACTTAGTGCTTCTAAAAATGTGACCTTTTCCCTTTTCTGTTATTTTTCAGGGAAATAACTATATCTGCTGCCTCTTACCATTATTGGAATAGAAGCTGAGAAGCAGAAGAGATGTTGGAAACAATTGGTAATCTTTTTTTATTTGTATCACTATATTTTTGTGGCCAAATCAAGTGTGCATGATAGATTTAGGACATTGGTATATACTGCTTAGAGAGGTATTGTGAAAAATATCTGTTGTACGTAGAAATACATGATGTGTTTGAGTTTTTGTATTTTGTATTTGAAAACAAGAAGTGTACCATCATTTGTTTAGTGTATTTAATTTTTAACCTGTTGTCTTGATTTCATTGTTTTAATCTGTACTAGAATCAAAAAAGTTTGTATGAAAAAGACAAATGTTTTCTATTGTGGCTATTTTTGTCACAGTTCGTGCAACTGAATTTTAATGAAGTGTCTTTCACTTTTGTAACCCAGTTCTTGATGGACAAAGATGTAATTTTCTTTGGCTTCTGTTTTGTACTCTACCTCCAACTTCCTGTTTCATTAGACATGTTTGGGCTGAGTTTTTTGTTCAGAGCGGAACCATTGAAGTCCTCTGTAGTTTGAACAGTAGAGAGGGATACATTTAAACCTGTTACCTGCTTGTGTGCAGCTGTTTCTAAACTGCTACTGACTAGGAATGATTATCACTACAGATACACATCGGGCCCTCCAGGCCATGGAGCGCTTACAGGCAAAACTTCGGGATCGAGGTGACATTGCAAACGAGGAGAAACTGAGCTTATTAAAATCAGTGCTGCAGAGTCCTCTCTTTAACCAAATTCTCAACCTTCAGACTTCTGTTCAACAACTGAGAGATCAGGTAGGAAAAGCAGCCTCCCAGGCACAAGAGAAAAATTGCTAAGAAGGTGCAAAAATGTATGTGTGTCTGCATGCTGAACAGTGAAATCAAATAGCCTAAATTAAAAGTCTGATCCAAAGCTTCAGGGAACTGAGGAGGACCTACCCGTTGACTTTTCTGGACTTTGTTGGGGCCCATAGTTTGTGTATGTGTTTTTTATGTATGTGCTTGTTACTTACAATGTACATGGTAGTGAAATGGTGGCAGTGGTTGGGGAGTTAACGTAAGTCTTTCTGACTGTGTCCTTCGAAAGGAACATGTTTTGTATGATATCTTAGGATTTTTTTCCTAGGAGCCTTTTGTTGCCCTCTGGTGTCTTACCCTGCTAAAATGAGAATATGTAAGAGAAACTGTGGAATGTTGACTTCAGAAGGACATGAAGATCTTTTTTTTTTTTTTTTTTTTTCCAATAGGAATAAAAGATCAAAGAGAAGTGAGAGCTCCTACCTCCTTTTTCTTGCTCAGGGTTTTAAGTAGAAGTATTACTTCTCTACCTGTCTTCCATGAGGATGAGAAAAAGGACAGCAGCTCAGCCATATTGGCTTGATTGTTTATTACTATAATTTAATTTCCTTGTCAGCAGAATAAGAACTTGAAGAATAGTTCAATAACTGAATTAGCACTGAACTGTGTATCTGGGTTTGCAAATAGTTGTTCCTGTTGACTCCTGCAAGATGAACAGCTCTGTGGCTGGTATGCAGAAATGCCGAAGTGGGAGGTTGCAGCCCCTGCACACTGGCCTTACTGTCAGCGTGGAGCAGCGTCTGGTCTCTGACTGGACTGTGGCTGGTGACGAGTCCTCACGATCTTGATGCTACTTCAACTGTGTGGCAGAAGAGCACAATCTGGCCCTTTATTGCTTCTTTTGGATCATCTTGATGCTATTTTGCACAGACAAGAAATAAGTTAGAATGGTGCCTACAGCGTAATATGTGACCATGATTTTCAGATTTTGCATGTTTGATATGTAGAGACCTGATGACACTGGAGTGATTTAAAAAAATCTGGGAAAAAAAGATGTTTTGAGAGTTTGTTTGCTCTGCTATTTGAAAAGGAGAATTTAACAGTGACATAGAGAAATTGTGTCACTTGTGTGGTGATGGCTCTGGGAACATGTAGTGAGAATTGAAAGTGTGCCTGAAGACTTAATGGGAATTTGATGAAAAGGCAAATTAAATTTTCACTTCCAGACATTAGCTGTGAAATTAAAGGGTGCTTCTCTTTTTAAATACAGTCACCTAAATTAGTAAAATGAGGCAGCTGATACTACAGGTGGGTAATTTCAGATGTGTATTTTTTAAAAAGCAAGTAATAGTTTTACCTTCTGCCCTAACCCTGCAGGTTTGTCTGTGCAGTAACTTTAGTGGCCTGTGCATGTTGCATGGTACATACCCAGTGTAGTTGACAGGGGAGCTACGTGGAAGTGAATTCCCTTCTTGATAGGTGCTTATATGAACACTTGCACATACAAATGCATTTCTGGCCATTCTTAGATTTGGGTGAGCTCTTCACAAAGTGTCCTGTGTTTTCTCTGTAGAATAATTTCTTCCGTACAATGTAGCATGAGATTGCCTGTCTCTTTGCTTTATTTAGATCTTTATAAAGCGTATTGAAACAGCACAACTAATGAAGTCATGAAATAGGCAGTCATGTTAAAAAATTGTATTTCTTGGCGTTTTCAAAGGCTCAGTTTTGACAGTTTTGTCAGTTTTGTTCAAGGACACTCTTTAGTTTTATGTCTGGGAAGGCACTGTGCTCTTGAAACTCCTAAACTACAGGTCGGTGAACACTGCAAGGCATGTTAATAGTGAACAGGGTTTTTGGCCAAGCCATGCCAGACTGAGGAATGAGAGAAGTTGTTTCCCAAGCACTTGCATCAGAACTGTGTTTGAGACAGAGTGACAAATGGTGCTGAGCTGTGCAGTGGTGAGGTATTTCAGTCTCAACCCACTCTAGAGCAAGGTGGCTAAATTTTTTTGATGTTTTATGATGAGCTGCACTGAAAGCTGAATGGGGTCTGTTTCTTCTCAAGGTGAAGAGTAGGTGACAGTCTGTTAAACTGCTCCTATGTTTTTAATTAGTTTGTGATTTTTTAAAGAACTGCAAGACTATTATAAAATTCTCAGGAGAAGGCCATCTTTCAGGGAAGTAGAGGTGGAAAGAGAGGATGGGAGCAGAGAAGCAATAATGGCAATTTACTTTCTAAGTCAAACTGATTCCTTGCAAGCATCCCAACAGAAACAGGTCACTAAGTGAGGCCTGCTTGTGGACCTGTGGTGACCTCAATAAATATGAGGGTAGGACGTATTCCTGTCTTGAGGCACTGTGTCTGGAAGACACAGAGTTGATAGTGAGAACCCCCTCTTCAGTGTGTGCAGTAAGTCTGGATAATGAGCTGGCAAATCTTGTGAGCATTGGTCATGTTTTCTTAGCAAAAATCAGGATGCAAATATACAGTTTTAGCAGACAAATATTCCTTGCATTCCAGCGAGACTTACTACCATTTTTCATGGTCTAAAATAGTAGACTTCCTTTTCTTTTTTTTTTCCTACAGATAAGTAATCTTTGAAGCACCAAAAGAATATCTGAAAAATTGTCTTTCTGCATGTGTGGAGGTATTTCAGATTTGCTGTCCCATTTCCTTAAAGCATCTGTGTCTTAATTGGAAATTGATCCCCTGCGTCCCTTCATTGTTGGTGTGTGCTTAAGAAGAGCCTCTTGCATTTATGTTATATGCAGTGATGTGGACTGCGTGGTATGTTGCTTCATCTGGATGTTGGTGAGGCATCGTGCTAAAGACAGCAAATCTGATGGTTTGGTGCTTATTGGTACATGCTTTAAAGTGTTGGTTTTTTTTTTTTTTTTCTTAAACAAGTGGGCAGGATTTGTTTCCCCTACAAATCTGTCATTGTGAGGTTAAGAACTGGAGTGGGAAAAGTCTTGGGACAGCAAAGGGATTTTTTTTTTTGAGAATTACTGTCCTGACTTCACTAGTCACTTGAGTTGAGGAGTGCTGAAGGAACTAGGTTTTTTTCTGCCTCTTTGGATCCTTATTCTTCAGTGAATGCTTGTTTTCTCATGCTGAAGAGCAATCTTGTCGTTTGAAGATAAGGGAGTGACAGAAAGGAAAGGCAGAGATTGTGATGTTTTGAACTTTCCAATAATATTTTCTTTTCTTTGTAAAATATTTTAAATAAAATACTCAAACCATGCTGGCAGTCCTGTCCCGCTTCTCTTCCTTTCCTTTTTATCTCTTCCTTGCCTATGTCCTCCTCCCCTCCTCTTCCCGCCTCCACTCCACTCAGGGCGCTACCGGAAGAAAATACCCTTCCCTTGGCTGAGCTGCATTCCTCAGATTTTTTTTGCTTGCTTGACCATGTTTTTTCGTTCACAGTGGGGTAATGGGGAAGAGTGCCCCCACGGTGCAGCATGTACTGGGTTGTATGGTATAGCTGAGTTTCAGTGCTAGACCGGATTTAGGGAAGAAGTGGAGAAACTGTGTATTTTCATACTGCCTATGAACACTCTGTGATTTGCACAACTACGGGAGACCTTTAGTTCCTATCCTGAACCCCTTTCTGCAACAATGCCATTTGCTCTGTGCTTTGAAACAAAGTGCTTGTAAGGAGATGCTAGTTTGGGATCTGCTTCACCTGCCTTGGGGACCGGGATGTAGAGGAGCAGCCAGGAGGGTGGTGCTGGAGAAGTGCTGATGCCAGTGCCAGTGCCTGTTCCCGAGGAGCCCGGGGGCTTCCACTGCGGTGCAGACAGCGTGGCTGTGGGGAAGGCCTGGCAGGGCAGGGCGCCTGGCAGCACTGTCCTCACTGCCGCCTCGCTGCAGGGCTCGCACGGCGGATGGCTTGCCCTTCATTGCTTCCAGTGCAATCACTGTTGCAGCCAACCTTTTTGCTACTCAGGACTCTTGCAGTCAGCTGAAGTACTGCTCTCTGCTTCGTGGGGTCTCCAGGGGCTGGGGCTCAATGGCTGGAGTGCAGAAACACTGAGAATTTGTTGTTGTCCAAGTTGAGACCTAGCAATGCCAATTATGTTGTTTTAAATGTTGATACACTGCAGACATGGCTTGGGTAGCTCCTTTTTTGTTAAAAAAAAAATGTGAGCGACTGCGTGTAAGCACTATTTAATTGCATTTATTGTCTGTCTGTGCAACTGTAATGTAAGTTTATGTCATACTCGGTGGTGTTTTTGAATTTTTCTTTTTGTCTTTCACCAAATTATGTCTACATTACAGATGTTACGTACAGTGACGAGAAAGCCAGTCAAGGAAAATTAGCATAAGCCAAATTATAAAACAAAACAATATTCTTTCATACATACTTACACAATCACAATGCTATAAAGCTACTTCTTGATGGAATTGTGGTAATTTTATTACTGCAAAGTAGTGCAATTTATTTATTATAAAAAATATTTCATGCAACCACAAGAGCATCTTCTTTTTAAGATTTCCACTTGTGTTTTATTGCTCACTCTGGAATGACTTGTTCTTCTGTGGTTAGCAAGAGTATACACCAGTTCTTCTCAACTTTTACGTGTTATAAGCCTGTATTTCATGAGGGACAGGGAAAAGAGTGGTTGACATGTTTCTGCCTGTAATGTGTCTAGGGATTCTGAACTTCCACCTTTAGGATCATTATAAATATCATTATAAACCAGAAAAGTTTTTAAGTATGTGTGTGTTTTGGGAGAGGAGACATTCTGAAATCTAAGTTTTTTGCATACACAAAACTTTTTTCTGTTAGCAGTTTGACATTTTTTCTTAGAGTTGCATTTTTTTCTTGGAATTTCGCAAGTCAGAAGCCAGTTTATGTGCGGTAGGCTTCCTGTGTTAAGCACTTCCTCCACTGAAGGTGTAACTGTGTTTGTTTAAAAAAGGTGTGATGAAAACAAGGTGTTGCTGTCAATTGCTGTTGAAGAGGTGGTGTTTGGTACTGCATTGTAGCTGTGCTGTAATCACAGTTGTACTGAAGATTTGAGGTGAAGCTTTTTAAAGTTTAAAGAAAAATACCACAAGACATACCTTAAATGAAGAACTCCTTCAGACTTACCTGGGGAAGAAAATGGTGGTACTGGGCACATGTTCAAGTGGAAGTTAATTTGCCCGCAATGGCTAGCCTGCCATTTGAACGTTCCAAACTGTGCAATGAGCTGCCTAAAGCAATCCTCTGTTAAGCAGTACTAGCAGAACTAGTGTTTAAAGTTCTAGTTAAACTGGTGTGGATTGGAGGGTTATTGTTGCTTATAGAACATAGTACAGGATGGGGCACAGAGCTCCTCTGAATATTGAAGGTTGTGCTGTATCGAGTATTGAGTGGTACAAGAAGTATTTTAAATTCAAAGAAGGCATATAATACAATTCATCTTAAGGGCAATGTGTCATACTCAATGACCTTTTATTTTTGTTGTGTAGCTCCATTTTTTTTCTTTGCTGTTTGTGCATACAGGAAAGTGTTTTATTGTATATTAGGGAGAAACAGTATCATGATGTAAACACCGTTTGTATCATTTGTACTGTTCTAAAAATATCATATTTTAGGATTACTGTGGCTTGCTTGATCTACTTTTTGTACATTGCATGATTTTTCCAGTGTTGCAACTTGCTCCCTGCACATTTCTGTGTAAAGGAGTGCTCTAGATACAGGAAGAACATTAACTTTTTATCCAGAGAGAGGTTTCACAGATTGGGATTGTCTCTACATCAGCAATGTGCACACCATGTGATAACATGGAAAAACTTAAAAGTGACATTCATGAAGGAAGATGGAAGGGAGATGGACAATGGATGGGCACAGCAGCGGTTCCTCAGCTGCAGTCAGTTTCTGTGCCTTAAAATTCTGTTTCTGTCCTTTTTTGCCTGTATGGCTCTTTCTTTTTAAGGCAGAAGGAGTTCTAACTTTCTGTGTAGTCTTTCTATATAGTCTCAACTTTTGCTCTTAGCATTGTTGTAGAGTTTTCCTTCTTTTCCGTTTTTTGTCTCAGATGATGACTGCACACTCCATTCAAAGTGGGGAATTCACACATAGTTGGATTTTATAGAACTATCAATAATACCAGTGACCCTTCCCCTTCTGCTGATGTGAAGGATGAAACTTCAGGAAGCTCCTGCCACGTTAAAAGGGTCCCCAGACAGATTAATGTTGTGCTTAGAACGATGCTAAATGAAATTGAAGGCATTTAATGTATTTTTCTCTAGGTTTAATCTTATTGACTGGAGTCATTACCACTCTCAGCTGCTGAGCCTTGCCTACTTAGTTTGAGGTTACCACTCCAAAGGCTGCACCAAAGAGGTTATGTGAGCTTTCACTAATCCACATTGGGCAAAATCACTAGGTTTTACTCGTATTATGCAGTTGCTTGTTTAGGCTAACCTTGCTGGCTTTGCCTGAGGAGGTGGATGAGTTCTCTAGTAACTCCTTTCAGCAAGCAAGCTCTGAGGATGGTAACAAAAAAAAGTTCAGTGCTCTTTTCTACAATACGCACTGCAATTTAGAAAGTGAACATATAACCATGCCTTACTAACATTTGTGATATCAGACCCATGTATTATGACCTTTGAGTGCACATGAGAAGTAGTTTGGGTTTGCATCTCATATACTCTTAGGCTGCTTTATTTTGCTGTGAAAATGTTTTTAAATAGAAATAATGCAAGACTGGCTTATTACAGTGGTGTTAGATACCCTTACAAATAATAATTTGACCCATGACAATTTTTTGCGGGAAGGAATGTGACAGCAGGATGTATAAGAGGATTTGAAGATGGAGGAAAACAAGAGATGAAGCATATTAATTGACCAAGTTCAGTGATACACTTCTATACATTGATATGGATGGCATTGGGAAGGTGGAAGTGAATTAACATATTATATGGACTCATGCAGATAAGAAACATGGTATGGCACAGACTATTAGTTTCAAATCCATGCATATAATGTAAGGGGAAATCTTGGATTCATGGAAGGGCAGAATTTTATTATGTTTCTGAGTGTTGTTACATGTAATGAACTGTGAAGCAAGGGTTATCTACCTGTGCCTTACAGCCTTGCTGAAATGACTTTATGTGCTTAAAGAAAGTGCATGTGTGCCCATTTTAGACATTATGGTTTGTTTGAAACATAACCCAAGTGATTCCTCACAAATATGGACACCAGAGTATAGTCACTGTGTGGTGGAAATCACTGAGTTCCAAACATCTTCGTTTTCCTCTTTCCAGTTTGTTATGGCAGAGGAGGCTAAGTGCTGTTAAGCACTTTTCTTTCCAGTGCTGTCCTGTGGTATTTTTCTTTAACTTCATATTTGTTCTATTTTATTTTTGTAAAGCACCCAGATGAGAAAGAATTGTGTGATGGAGAACAATACTGATCTTTTAATGACCGGACTGTTGGGAGAATGATATGATAAACCTAATGGAAGTAGCATGCTTAAACAGTTGAGACAACGGTGCGGTAGACATTTTAGAATACATTTACAGTGTCGAAATTTTTGTTGATATTTGAAGTTTAAAAATAAGGCTTCAGGGAATGGGAATCCCAGTCTTTTGTATTGTGTTGCAGAATGCTAGAAAATTTGCACTGTAAAACTGTGAAAAGTATTTGAGGCTGCAGTATTGTGGTCCTAAATTGTGGTTAGTGTGCCAGGCAAGTATGAAACAGATCAATGTGGAGTTAAACAGTGCCTGTTGACAGCCAACAGGCAGGTGGGACAACAACCAGATCAGGGCTGCTGCTTCAGCTGAGCTTTGTACTGTCACCAGCCGTTCATTAGATTGGTCGGCAGAGACTGACTTGGAAATAGGTAATATACTATGGCTGGGCAAAGTGGAGAATTTTCTTATTTTCTGTTCTTTTCTGCTCTAAGTGTATTGTCAAGGCTGCCTGCATAAAGGTACGACTATAGTTTTCAGATCAGCCTGGTGATTTTAGACTTGTTCAGTGATTTTGTGTTTGATTCTAGCTCATGTAGAGAGTCACATTGGCAGCTGTAGCGCATAGTGATGCAGAAACCCTGACCAGTGAAATTTGTTCCCTATGTAGCTGGTGAGGTTTCTTTCTTTTTTTTTTCATTAAAATACACATGGTTTGTGTTTTTTTTTAGTTTTCTTGTAAAATAATTGATAAATTTGTTTTTAAAAGTACTGGTACTGTAGGAAAAGCTTGTTCCTACTTGTTTACCTCTACCATTGTGTTGGAGTACTTCAAGCTGCTGTGCTGGTATGAACAAAAGACTTTTAGACAGAGTGTGGAAATAATTTTGGATTATTTTAATCAATTTCTTTCATGTTTTATGCTGATAATTAACAACTTTACATCAATTATAAATACTGAAAATAATTTTTCTTTTTAAAATTGCAAACTGGGATTTCAAATGTTTTTAACAAGCAATTGGCCTATTATGATGCTCTTGAATAAGGAGGAGGTTTCTGCTATGTATATAAGTCTGTGTTGCCATCAATCTTTTACAGGTAAATATTACACCTTCCATACATTCCACTGGTGAATTCCCTCAGCTTCTCCATCATGGTGTGAACATGGGGTCCTTGCCACATAATGAGTCGTATTTGTTGGCTCAGCAGAATGGTAGCCCAGCTAATGTGCTAGAAGCATCGGTGAGATCCATTACTCCTCAGGTTAATGGAAAGTCCTCTGGTGATGACTTTGAGCAGCTGATCAGAAATATGTCCCAGGTAAGCATGTCGTCTGGTAACCATGAAATCTGGATCAGTGGTTATCTGGAAGATTAAAATCCATGTATGTATATTTAAAAGCAAACGAGTTATTAAGCAAACCAGAGCTCACTTGCTATATAAAACAAAAATAACCTTTTAATTTGAGGAACAATTGGTAAATAAGAAAACAGTTGGAGAAGTAACCTTGACATTGTCACTGCTGAGTTACTGTCCTTAGCTGGGCAGTGAACCTCTTACAGATCAGCATGCCATTGTGCTTCTGTGCTTGTTGTAGGACTGCTGCTCTGTGTGTGAGGGAGATGCTTTGTCAGAGCGTGGTCTTGTGTGCATAACTAATCAAACCTAGTTGTGTGACTTGCTTGGAAATAAGACGGAAAATTCCTTTTTGGCCTTGCTACGCATTGTTCTGTAATCTTACTGCTTTCCTGTGGTGGGCAGAAATGATGTACGAGTCCCTTCAATGGCTAGAGCTGAGAATGGTCAGGCATATTCTAGCATTTTTCCAATGAACCTGTAATAGAGCCAGATAGGGGAAGTGTTCTGCTGTTCTCCGGGAAAGCCTTTTGCACAGTTCTACTTTTTCCCTCTTCCTGAAATTCATCCTCTTTCTCTAGTTCTGCTTGAGAGTTGGCCTGTACCCTCTAATATTTTATAGGCACATGTATCCTAGTTTGGTCACTACTAAGACTAAACTCTGTATATTTAGCTGTTGTTTCCTGATTTCCTCTTCTAGGCAGTAATCTTTATTTCTCACATCTTTCATAATTGTCACTTTTCTGTATGACAGTGAGAAATCGGAACCGAACAGCTATGTTTCAGTTATTAGCTAGTGTAGCCCTGTCCAGCTGTAGCTGTCAAACTAGAAACTAATTTCCAAGTTGTTTATCACATTCATTATGTTACTTTTCAACGTTTTCAACATTTGTGCTCTTTTTTTTTTTTTTTTTCCTGTTAAACAGGGTCGTCTTGTTGAGACCATTGAGCTTATTAAACCTTTAAGTGGTGGTTTGGGCTTCAGTGTTGTGGGACTTAAGAGTGAAAACAGGGGAGAACTGGGAATATTTGTGCAGGAAATCCAGGAGGGAAGTGTGGCACATAGGTAAGATTATTTTACTGTACCAAGTGTTAACATGACACTGCAATTTAGTTGTGTTATTGTTCTTGTTTTTGTAGTACAAGGGCATGTTTCTCTCATATTCGAAGCCATACATAGCAGATTTAAAATTACTTACCACTACAATTTATGTTACATTGGAACAGGGCAGTGTATGATCTGTTCTGAATTTCTAGAAACTACAGATGTAGTTTCTCTGTGGTTTGTTTATATTATCTCTCTTCCAGCAGGGAAAATGGGGAGGTTACTATTCTGTGTCATGGCTTTTAAAGCTGAGATACAGACTTTGCCATCCTTGAATGCATTGAAAAACAATTTGGTGCAAAAAAATCAGTTGTAACTAGCAGTGTTGTTGGTTAGGTAGAGTCCCACTGAGCAGGTGTGAAACTCAGCTTTTAAGTCAAGCCAGGCTTGACTTAAAGTTGTTGGGCTCTAAATTAAGATATTCAACTGATGTTACCAGAAACTGAGCAATAATAATAGCGTGCTGAAAGTATGCTTTAGACTTCAATCCTGATTCCACAAGTAGTGCAGAGAGAAATGTATTTCTGCTTTAAGAACAGCCTGAGGAAGCAAATGAACTCAGTGATGAATGGCCGCAGCACTTGTTCAGTGCAGACTGATGGGGTGTATGGATGGGGTGTGTGGATTTGCAGATTAGGATCCTGGACAGAGCTACTTCATGATGTACTCTATATGTTGTGCGTGGCGGCTGAGCCATCTCACTGCTATTTCTCACTGTGCTGTAGGGAGAGATTTGCTGATTATTTGTGGTCTGAACGCTGTCCTTTTAACAGAGGGCAGAGTGTGGACTACAGACACAAAATGGCACGCTCTGTCATTACAGTATTTTTTAATGTGCCTAAATTCCACCTTTTTTTTTTTGTTCTTCGCCTTCAAGAGGTCTTTGCTTTTATTTCTCTTATTCCACGGAGTTCAGACCTATCTTTACTGAATCAAGCCCTGCCTTATTCACTGGTGAGAAGAGAAACATTGAACAACTGTTGCAGAGCTTGTAAATTAGAAAGGCCCTGGCAGTAATAAGTCTTTGAGAGTGCTGTGAAAAACAGTTCAAATTCACAAGCGAAATATTATGGGTTGAAGCTAAACAGTGTTTTTCCTGGGTGCTGTTGAGTACCTTGGCTTCTATGCTGTAGGTACTCACAAAAGCTGGTCTTACAGGGATCCTTGTTTTTGTTGTCGTCCTTTGTTTTCAAAGTATTGCTGCTTCAGGATGTTGAAGACAAGAGTCCAGAGTTTTTGCTGGTCTGTTACAGAAACAATAGAACTGGTGGAGGAGGCAGAGGGTAACTCATCTGTGGAGGCTTCATATGCTTCCTTTGAAGTAGGTCTGGAGAAGGGCTCAGTATGTAATTTTACAGTAGTGCTTCCTTTGTCAGAAAGTGAAAAGTTATTTTTTAATTTGTTCAGGGCTTTTTTTCCCCTCATTGAAAAGGGATCAATTTTATCGTTTTCCTTCTGTTTCGCTCTCTACCTCCCTTTGTTTTTTTATTTTCTTTTCCCTTGGTTTTGTGCAAAACAAAATTTGTTTCCATAACATCTTGATGAAAGTATGTTCCACTCGACGGTTTGATGAATATTCAGAATGGGCACACTGAACAAAATGGAGCACTTGGTCTGTTAAGCAAGCAGCTCAAAGTCAAGAATAAATCTAAAGTTCCCAGGCTATGGTTGGGAGCGACTGAGATGTAATATGCTTAGTCTCGCATGGAGGTACAGGGAGAAGAAAGCTAGCTAGGGGGTATAGCCAGGGGAGAGTGGCAGTGGGATTAGCTTCAAAGGAAGTGATCACCAGGGTGCCGCATCAGCTCCTTTCAGCAAAACTGCAGGGAGAGATTAAAAACTGGGGGGAATAGAGAACAGGTTATTAAAAACACTGGAAAATTGTCAAAATACTGTGATTTCTGTGGCAGCACTATTTTGGTTTTTCTTGTTTGTTTATTCTGTCGTCCTCCTTCCCTGTTTACACGTATGTGACAGAGATGGAAAGCTGAAGGAAGCAGATCAAATCCTTGCTATTAACGGACAAGCCCTTGATCAGACAATCACACATCAACAGGCTATCAGCATCCTACAGAAAGCAAAAGATAATGTCCAGCTAGTTGTGGCCAGGGGCACTTTCCCTCAGCTCATCAGTCCTGTAGTTTCCCGGTCTCCATCTGCTGCTAGCACAGTTTCAGCCCATTCCAACCCGGTAAGTGTACCCCAGACATCTGTGTATTCAGTTCTGGGCATGTATGTGCTTACTGCATCTAGTATTTTGAGACTTTTTTTGTAACTTGTATGTACATTTCCTTCACAGTTCTTGAGGTTTATCTTCTATTTATCTTTGTTGTACCTTTCCCATGCAAAGAGCAGAAAATACTCAGGCTTGCTAGGGGCAGGATCTTGGACATACTCCTTCTTCCCATTTGCCAAATTCTCTGTATCCACCAATGCAAATGCAGCCTGTTTACCTTACTTTATGAAGCTTTATTTTGAGGTGGCAGTGAACAGGATCTTTTCTTGTCTTTGTATTCTCCTGGGCAACAAATTTTTGAGTCATTTCAGTCTGATCTGCACCACCAGCTGGATGGGTGCTTGTCTGTTTGTTTCCCTGTTGTCTGTTAGTGGGGGGCTCAAGTAAAGCAACAAGAGAGAACTGTCAAAATGCCATGAGTAGGGACACACTTTAAGACCCCAGAAAACAGCTCTGCTACATTTCCTTTCTTTTGAAAGCTTTTGCACATCCAGGTGTAGAGGACATAGCTCAGAAACATGGTGATATTAACTGCACTTTCTCTTCCCAGTATGTTACTCATTTAATGGCTTCTCCTGGGATGAAACAACCCATCTTTGGTTTCTGTAGGTTTTGCTGTTCAGTCATTTGTGCCTCCTCTTTAAGGGAGCAATCAGTCTGCAAAAAGTAGCTATTCTAGTGTTTATTCTAATCATCAGCATAAAACCTTTAGTGAAGAAATTTCAGAATTATTCCTTTCTTATGTGTGCAGGAATAAAGCTGATAGGCCTAAGTTTTCATGTCAGCACATGAGAGGCCTACTCCCTTCCAGTAGTCCTGTGATGCACTTCTTTCTCTATGTGATTGCCTCCGTATTCTCCAAACAACTTTCCTTGCTTGAAAAAATGTTCTTTTCAAACCTGCCACATCTCCTTCTGTTTTTTTATGCATGCCTTTCCCAGTCCTTGTGTTCCCTTTGCTTTCAAATGCTGGGGGAAAGCAGCTTAGCTGGAGCCGTTTTTGTTCCTTCAGGCTTTGCTTCATCATCTTTGGTGTATGTTAAGACTGCAGATGTCCCAAACAGGTACTGCAGGGCTTTGAATTTGCAGTACCTTGGTTATTCCAGAATAACTGCTTATTTTCAAGATCCTACCTGGCAGAGCACCAGCTGTGGTTTTAAATTTCAGATTTGATTTTAAATTTCAAATTTCAGTATGGTTTGTTCTTCAGGAGAAATAAACAATACCAGGAGCTTCCAGTTATCCCTGCAGTACTGCCCCATGTGAGTGAGCTAGCATGTGTCTTTCTTTCAGAGCAGTTTTGCTCCTGTAGGAACATGAAACCTGCCATCAGAGCTACTTCATTCCAGTGCTGTTGACATTGGACAACCCAGAAATCTGTGTTCATTACACAGGGGGCAAGTCTGCTGATGCCTGCCTCGCAATATGTGGTGCTGTGTTCAGCCTTAACATCTGTATTTGGTTTATGCTTTCTTCTGTACTTTGTTACAATGGCTGATGTGAACGCTGACTTATCCAAAGATACTAATTTCCAGTCCTGTGAGATTTCCTAGCAGCAGTATTTTTCTCACTGACTGCAATGGGGCATGGATGCAGACAGTCCTAGATTGCTGCTTAAATTCATTCAGCAAGTTCTCAAAAAGCCTGGCCCACTACCCAGCTCTGGTTTGTACCAGAGAAATTCCAGCTGTTATGGAATGAACAATTTGTTGCTTAAATATTATGTAATCTTATAGCTAATAGTAATTGTTAGAAAGGTCCCATATTTCTGCCTTCCTCCCGCCTTCCTTTATTCAAAAATATACCCAAGAAATAAGAGAAAATACTTTGCAAATTTTAATACATATGTCCTTATTTTAATAATTTGCAAGTAGGTATTTATTCCTTTTAGGTTCACTGGCAGCATGTGGAGACCATTGAGTTGGTGAACGATGGCTCAGGTCTGGGATTTGGGATAGTGGGAGGAAAGTCAACTGGAGTGATTGTTAAAACCATCCTCCCAGGAGGGGTGGCTGATCAGGTAAATTCAATCAACCCTTCTATTTACTGTTCAGTAAGTTATGAAGTTACTCTTTACTTTTGTAATCATGCTAAGTAGTGGTAGCTTTTTTCCTCATAAGTGTAATGAAGAGAGAGCAAGTGGTGAAACTTATCCTCAGTAAAGGTGTGTTTAGTGCGGGAAATCTTTGCCTTTGAATGTAAAAGCTGGATTAGGCTCTAAATCACATTTTCAAACCTGTTACATTACACATTTGGTGTGGATGCATTTAGACTCCTGATTCTTTCATGAGTATACTGGTTGTAATCCAAGGGTCAGAGGAACACCAAACACTTCTTTGCTCTGCCCCGACAGCTAAGAAGAGCATCTGCATCTCTACACTGGGCTTACTGAAGCTTGGAGCAGGCATGTGGCTTCATGCATCTGCTTCAAGACACAGGCTCTGCTCCTGCCTGAAGGGCTGATGTGAATTGAATTTTGTGATCACAGCACATTTCAAGCTTGTCCATTGGACAAGTATCTGTAGCTGCGTTAATGATGGTTAAGGATTGAATAGGCATAGAGACTGGTCAGTCTTCCAGCCACAGGAGTGGTGGCCTGATAACAGGACCTGAAGATGCATGGAGAGGATTTACTGCTCCACTCTAAGATGGGTTCCCTTTACAGACCTGACTCTTTAATACCTCTCAAATGGGCTAAATTCATGTGAAGCTTTTTTACTGATTAAAGGCAAATCATTAGGAGAGTAAACCAGTATAAATATCTGGATCACAGTAAGAGAAAAGTATATTTTATTTTAGTTACCATTAATCCTGAGGACCAGTTTTTAAATAGAGATGCAAAGCTGCTGTCTTTTGGAAGTGTGTTTGGAAACGAAACGTGAAGTTCTGTAATCTACATGCAGTTGTTAAATACCAGTAGGTAGTAACCATAACTACATGCATTTTTTTCTGTGCTCGGTGACTGACTGCTTGAAAAAGGATGTCCTGGATATTTCTGGGGAAATTTCTGGTAAAATTAATGTGCCATTAGGCAATCTACTTTTCTTCTCCATGTTATCAGAATATTGACTTGACACCCCCAAAAAAGTGATCTGGTTCATATGTCTTAAAAATGACTAATTCTATGTGGTCTTTTTCTAATTCTATGGTACATGGGACAAAAGGCAAGATGTTAATAGATTTTCTTCTTTTTTCATCTTTATTCTTCCTCCAGCATGGGAGATTATGTAGTGGAGACCACATATTGAAAATTGGTGATACGGACCTGGCTGGAATGAGCAGTGAGCAGGTGGCACAAGTTCTGAGGCAGTGTGGAAATCGAGTGAAACTGGTAATTGCAAGAGGTCCTATTGAGGAACCGCCTCCACCAGCAGTCCCTCCAGGTACACCAGTACCCATTTCCACACCAGAGAAACAAGTAAGCAACAGTGAATATACTTAACTCATGGCAAACTTTTACGTCAAATTTCCTTTTCTTTTAACCGGTATTTGAATGTCTTCCACGCTTATGTTCTCAAAAGCTGGGATTTTCTTTCCCAGTAGCAGTGTTCTCAGCTGATAGTCTGGGAGAATTGAAATGTCATGAGTGCACAACACAAGGAACTGTATGCTTGAAGTGTTTTGGGGTCAAGGCTTAGGACTTCCATAAGTATGATCTCAGTAATGTCTGGTTCTGGGTTGCTTGCGATTGTGCAGTAATACATTGGGAACCACTGAAGCCATGAAGTCTTTTCTTCAGACTGAGCAAGCTGGCTTTGTAGCATTTCTCTGTGCACCTGTCCTTTTCCTTTCCAGGAACATTTCTTATTTCCGTATCATTGCAGCCATCCATCAGACAGTTCCTGCCTGTACCAACCACAACAGAGATGCTGCTTCTTTCCTGCATCACCTGACATTGCTCATTTGCTATACATCTTCCAAAAAAAAGTCATCCAGCTGCTACCCTCATACCCTCCCCTGCGGATGATTGTACTCTGTGCTGTTACTCCTCTACAGCTGTCAGCCACCTAAAAAATGCTGTAAATATTATCATGTCCTGTCAGCTCAAAACCTTTACAAAATAGGTCATTTGCATGTTTGCAGCAAAGCCTGGTTTCGTGGGAGCCTTTGTCACATACACTGCCACATACAGTGTGTGCTTTGTCACATACAGTTTTTACCAGATACACGTAAATGTGAATACGTGGCATAAGTGAATGAGAGAAGAAAAAGGTGGTTGTTTTTGAGCCTACAACTGGATGGAATTCATGCCTTACAGATAATGTTTTGTTTTACTTTTTCTTGTTGTTTTTCTAGACATTTTCTTCCCAGTTCCAAATTACATTTCAGATAGGTCACTCTGGAAGAAAAAAATCCTTAACAATTTTTACATGTTTACCATTATTTTGCCTCTGTCTGTTGTAGTGGTACCTGTGGAAAACAAACATATATTCATCCCCTCTTTGTGGCTATAGGGCAAAAGAAGTTAATCTTAATGTAGAGTGTTCAGAGCATCTAAGAGGACAGACAGACTGGTATTTTTGTGTCTCTACAACACTCAGAGGCATGAAAATCTGGCTGTATTTTAGATAAAGGGATCAATATTTAGCCGGAATACTATTTATCTGAAAAGCAGCAGTCTCAAAAGAGAAGATGAATTTGATAATTTCATCTTTGTATATTTCTTCAGTATTTGCCTTTCTAAGGTTATATAATGCAATGTTGAAGACCATAACTGCAGCTGCAGGATGGATAGGTTTTCCAGTACTGAGGAAATAACTCAAAGCCACTAAGTGGCAAAATTTGACTTTTTGCCATATTCCTCTCCATTTCCATCCTTTTCAATACTTTGTTCCTGGTACATCTCTCCTGGCAGGAGGCAGGCTATCTTTAAACTGCTCCTGCCTGCACAAAGTCTTGGTTTTGGAGGGAGCACCCAGTTAATGGTGCTGCAAGCCTCATGAATTTAAGCCTACGTGAAGATGGTGATGGAAACAGCTTGGTTTGTCCGTTTCTTCCTGGCAAATAAAGGATGGGTGAAGACTTCCTGGTGCTTCTTCTAAAGCTATTAGGGAGGGCAGTATGACTTTCCAAAATGGACATTTCTCACCATGTTCCCTCTAGATGTCTATCCTGTAAAAATTCATGAGGTTATAGAAATGGGAGCAGTTTTTTAGTGGCATTACCTGTGGCCAAAATTATCCTGTATTATCAAGCAGAGAGGTAGTTAAAGCAGTAGAAATTGATTTTTCTTGTGTTTGATTGTGATTGTGTGTGGAGTTGATCAGATGAAGAGCTGAAGTGAGATTCTTTTTTGGCAAGTAACATCGTAGCTCTCCTGAAGTGTTATTTTTTTTGGCACATGCATGCTCATCTAGTCAAACTGGGTTTAATTAGTATCTACCTGGATGCTGTATTGGCACTTTAAAAATATTAGTTGCTGTTTGTCACACAGAAGAGATGGAATAAAATAGGAGTATAGGAGGATCTTAATAGATTTGTACTATATTTATGAATTCCCATTTTAAATATTGCTGTCCATATAAACACAACGAAATTGAAACCTTGTATATGTAATCATATAGTGATATGTATCAGCCATGGAAGTGATCTGTTTTAGACAGCTGAAGGATGAAAAATTGAAAAAACTCAAACTTATTTGGAAGTTGAAATTAAGTTTTGTACGTTGATTTTTTTTTTTCTTTTAATACAAAAGCAGTATTGCTGAAATGGCATTTTAATATGTATTGTTTCTTCATTAACAATAAGTATACAAATTCATTCCCCCAAAAATTCTTTGTTGTTGAAATTCAGAGAGTTATAGTACATATTAGTGAAGACTGTCATTATTTAACTAGCTGGAAGTAAAATTGCTACTTCCTAGAACAGAATTTTTAAGTCTTTCAAAAACAAGAAACATAATTATCTCAGTAGTAATAGCTTTTATTACGTTTTACACTTGGCATGCATAGGAAAAAATAGCTATAGTTATTGAATAGGAATTTAAACAAATGGAATACAAAATATAATTTTATTTGTTTTTTCTTTTTAATAACATGGCAATCTAAAGCTGGTTCAGAGGAGGTCCCAGAATGGCAGCAAGCTACATATTCTAACATTTAAGCATGGTTTGTGTAACTTAGTGTACAAGAGGTATATTGTTCAATTTGTACAAATTTCACCAGTCATGTTAGTCATCAGACAATGATTTTATAGGTTAGAGGGTAATATCCCAGGGGCAGCAGGGTGGGGAGGGCATCACCTGCATTGCTTTACAGTGAAGAATGTTACCTATGTCTGGTTTCTCTGGCCAAAACCAAATAAGAGCAGAAGCAAAGTTGGTACTTTCTTTTTTTACATTTGTGTCTAATTTTACATGTTAATGACATCAGGGAATGTGATGGATCTTTAAAGAAAAAAAGCTTCCTTTCTAACCATGCTTTTCTTATTAGGCAGATACTTCTGTTGATAGCTGTGCAGATGGGGAGAAATTTAATGTTGAACTCACTAAAAACAACCAGGGATTAGGAATAACTATCGCTGGTTACATTGGAGACAAAACGTCAGGTAATGATCGATTCCTGGAGTTTACTATACAATCGGCTGCATACTATGGTGTATGTGCATGAAAAACTTAATTTTAGTTTTGGTACAGCATCTCTAAAAAAACCTTGACCATCTAAAACGTTTTAAAATTTGTAAAGTAAAAGGAATTGTTTTCCTTTTGTGAGGAGAACATTCAGGTTAAAAGCCATCAGTTTTATTATAAAATCCCTCATCAACATTTTTTAGTGAATTTTTATATTCAGTCTGAGCTAAAGCTTGTGCTTAAATGTTTTTGCGAAACAATTCTTAAATAGATTGACCCATTTTTATTAAAACTAGCTGGGCTTTTTAAATTACATTTTCATTTTTAAGAGGCTCTTACAAGATAATGCATTAGTATTCTGGGTAGTTTTAGGAGGTACTGTTATTTTTTAAACAATGTGTACATTTTTTAAATTGTGTATATTTTTTAAACAATGTGTACAAATAGTACAGCTGGCAGATCAAGAATTCCTTAGTGACTTCGGGATATAATAAATGTTTGTTGGCCTCTGGACTGTTGCAGCCAAGAAATAATTTAATTTAATTAATTAAATAAATAAAACAGTGTTCATGTACAGTTGTGTGTTTTTACTTTGTAAATTCCACTACATTTTCAGAAAAATGATCCAGAACTCTGCTGGCCTCCCTAGGGGGGATTTGGCGAATGCAATACTGCTAGGAAGGAACAGTTGTCAAATGTGTTGTAAAACTTCTCAAAGAGCTGATGGTTTGACTTTTACCCATGTATGTATTGTTAGAAAAATGCATGTATATATATATTCCACATTATTGATAGTTTATAGGCATAATTTGTTGGCTTTGAGAAGCTGGACTAGATTTTAACAATCTGTTCCATAGGACAGGATGATCACAGTTTGTGTAAGTCCACTATTCAGCAGCTTCCAGTTCAATCTTTAAAAGACAAATTAAATTGTAGAACGTGTGATAGATCTGATTGCGTATTTTAATGGATTTAGTGTTGGAGTATCCCCAGTCTTTGATTTTTTTAATTATTGTGCTGCATGTAACTGCATTAGAAAATATTCTTGCTTTAGGAACTAATTGGGCATCTCACTTAATTTTGTGACTTAACACTTAGTTATAATAGCAGCTTTGCTGTCAGAGAAGCAGCAATAAAACTGCTAGATGAATGCTGAATAGCAATTCTTCATGTTACCATACAGCTGTTACAGGATATAAAACCACTTCAAAGTTAGTAAGACCAGCCATTTAATTATTCACAAAACCCGGGAAAACAACACATTAAGAAAAAACAGAAAAGAGTTGTCAATATTGTGATTTAAATATATTTATAGTCTTATTCTTCCTAAGCTGAATGTAGTCATTAGAGCAAAACATGGATTTAACCCTCTTTCCTGCTAACTTTGGTCATATTGAGTCTGAGTAAAAGATGAGTTTCAGATCTGCAAAGGCACTGGGATGTCTTGACAACTGTTAAAACCCATTTTGTAGTGGATTATCTTCCCATTGAACATACTCATTTAACAGAGTTGGAATATTTGTTGAGAGAAAGATTTCTGATACTACTGTTCCTGTGACCCTCAGACTTGATTTCATGCCAGCTCATGCTAGTATTTTTCTCGATTTCATGTATACTATGCAAAATGTGCATGTAGGAACTCTGTAGATTTTCACTTTACTGAGCTGTTGGAGTGAATTCCAGTGTGTTTTTCCTGAAATGGATTTCTTTTTGTACAATATCCCTTCTGTAGATGTTTTATGTATATGACTTCTCCTTCTGATTCAAAATCAGAAACTGTCTAAAATGGTTCTCTTTTGGGGTTTGGATTGTTTTTTTTTCTTTTGTGTCTTCTTTTTTTTGTTACTGGATTGAATAGTGACTTAGAGCTGTAGTTAAAAACTGGTTCAAACATAAGTTATAGTCCTGCTTGCTTCTAATTTTTTACATTTCATTGTCTAAACATGCGTTTTCGTAAGCAGTTATTAAGTGTGTAGAAGATACAGGATTTACCAGGTTAGTCTACTCAAACTGAATTTTCTGTCCTGCAGTTTTAAATCTGATAAAGAAGCAGAGATACTTTTTTGTTGATGTTGGTTTCAACATTTAGATTAAAATAAGTTAGAATATTTCTTTTGCAGCAAGAATTTGGAATTTGGCATTGTAAGATTTTGAATGAAATCTGATCCAATGCAAGCTAATGTTAATCAGGCTCATCCTTTAGGAAAATAATAGTATATATGCTTTATGTAAAGCATATATCTTCTTGATGTTTCTTTCCTTATCTTACCTGGAGATTGTGTTTTCTTTCTTTTTTTCCTTTTGGCTAGTGGCATTACTTGGAGATTGTTGCATTATTTAAATTGTTTCTTAATAAATTCGTTAATTTGATTTTTCTCTGTTTCTTCATCCCAGAACCTTCTGGTATCTTTGTGAAAAGCATTACAAAAGGCAGTGCTGTTGAACATGATGGCAGAATCCATGTAGGAGATCAAATTATAGTTGTAAGTAAACACAGAAAGAAATCACTTGTCTGCAAAACTCTACTTCTTTAAGTTGTAAAGAAATGCTCAAGTAGTACTTGTTTAAAACATTTAGGATTGGTGTTGAAATGATGAGTTTTTTTTTGACTGAGTATTGATCACATCATTTTTCTGATTGTGCTACCTGTGTATAACTTGGTGTTTCTTAAGAAAAGTATGTCATTAAAGTTTTAGATGCTCAGAGGAGGAAATATTTTCATGCATAAAATGTTAGTTGTGTGGTGAAAATCAGGTCACGATTGCAGGAACTGTGTTTTTGTGGCTGTCGTAGATCTGTCCTTACATTTGTGCGAAGGTAGCACTAAGAACAAGTTATGGTCTCTCTGCAAGTTGTGCCTGAACGGTTGTGTGTGGAAGTATATATGGTTTTTATAATGATTTAAATGCTGACTACAAGTCGCTAAAATTTATTATTGCAAAGTTTCATTTCTTCTTCTACTGCAGATGCAGAAGGAGAAAAAAATTTGAGTGACCTCAGACAAAAGAATAATGAACATTTTTAAAATATGGTTTGCTGAAGTGTGGAGGAAAAAGTACATGACAACACCAGAGTTAAAAGAAATTCAGAGACGGCAACAAAATGATTAAGTGTCCCGGGGGAGTAATTCTTCATGCAGGAGGAATTGAAATAGTGGAATATGTGTGTTGTACAGATAGACTGAAACAACTACAGGAGTCGAGGAGTTGTTAGAAGTATTTCAGAAATTAAAGGCACTGAAGGGTGAGATTGAGAAAGAATAGGATAATATGGAGTTTGCAGGGAGAAGGAGAATAAAAAGGTCTGTACTAGGGATAATGGGATGAAATCGAGCAATGCCAAAGCCTTGAGTTTCAGAAAAAAAGCCTGAGTTAATGAGATAATGGGATAGCTTCAAACAGAAGAGGCCAGAATCTTGTTCTTCAAAATCTGGAAATGATGGACCAGAGAGAACATCTGGCTGGCTGGGACAGTGTTTGATTGGGAAGTTGGACTTCGCATTGTTCAGTAGTAGACTTCACTGTGTCTGGAGTTACCTGGCATCGGAATGACTGCGCTCTCTAATTCTTCTTACCACAGTGGATGGATGTGTCTGTCCTCACCCTCCCCTCCCCAGCTCTCCTGGCCATGGCTGTGCTGGTTTATTGACCCAGTATTTTCTCCTTGGAGGTGGGGATGGCTGAAGTGGTCAAGCAGGCGGGCTGCACAATGTGCCCCACACAGCATGTGCTGTGTCCTCTCCCACCTCACCTGGCCCCACTGGTGGGCACCCAAAGCACTTCTCCCCACTTTGGTATGTTACCGGTTCTTACTTAGCTGTGGGGTACTCCAGTGAAAGTGCTTAGTTGTTGTTAAGTCGTCCAGGTTTTTGTTCTTGTCCCTCTGCTTGCTTTGTGCTCAGGATAACAGATGCTGAAAACTCACCATATTATTTTACGCTGGACTTTTTTTTTCTGAGTAATGTCTTGCGTGCTGAAAAGCTGCTTAATCCTGCAGGTGGATGGAACAAATCTTCAGGGTTTTACTAACCAGCAAGCAGTTGACGTTTTGCGGCACACGGGACAAACAGTTCGGCTCACTTTGATCAGAAGAGGGCTTAAGCAAGAAAATCATATTCAGCCCCAGGAGGACTTCAGTGCTGCTGTTGAAAAGGACTTACTGTTCCAAACAATGGATAGCAACACAGCCAAAGGTAATTAAAACTGGCTTTGCTTTAAAGTTGGCTTGAAATGTTTTTCTTCTCAGTTGCAAACTGGAAATAAGATAGGCCAAATTCATTTTGGGTAGCTATTACTGATGGCAGAGCTGTTGTACATGAGGGGAGAATTTGGTCTACTATGGTTTGATTAATCTTTTAGACACAGTGGTATTATTTGCTACGGTTTCAAAGTGAGTGTTGAGAGCTCTGCATTGTGTTGCACTTCTGGCTGAATTGCTTTAAGACTTTGATCCTGCGAATTTTCAAAAGCTAAGCAAGCAGTGAATGTTTTATTCGTGCTCAAGGGTGAGAGCTGCATTCAAGAGCAAGCAAAGAGATATCCTCTGCAATGAGTAAAAACGTGTCTCATTTCTTTTCACTTTTAAGTGTCAGTGTTGCAAGCTCAAGGTATGAGAGGCCTATATCTAGAGTTTATTAATAATCTGATAGAGCATTAACTATATATGTGTATATAGTTCAGAAGCCAATGACCAATATTAATTTTGCTACTGATGAGGTAAAATTAGTGAAGCTTAATCTTACACTGTGCATATCTTGAACTATATGTACGAGATCTTGAAAGTCCATGTGTTTGAACAGAATGTCTGCACAGAGGCTGGATGCACAAACAGATTCTTTTCAGCTACTTGTATTATAGGTTGATGTCTGCAGAAGTACATCACAGTTAATAGACTGAGGCATAATCGCCACCTCGCGTAATATTTTGAAAGACCCAGTAGTATTTTACCTGTATGGCATCCTCTCATTACCATTTTTAGCAAATACTACAGAGTAAATGCTCAGGAAGTGCTGTTTCTCCAGCCCAGAAGTGTTCAAGACAGCTAACAGCCAGCAACACACCTGACAGAGCTCTGTAGTAAGAGAGGTTTTCTACAGGTGAAAGGTCTGTCAAGTATGCAAGTCTCCCAAGTCTGTAGCATTTTCATTTTTCAGTGTCAGCTTCCCGAATTGCACAAAGGAAAGAAGAGGAAGGGGAAAAAAAAAAGATAATATATGAGTGCTAAAGAATTTATGCTTCTAGTAACTTTTCTTTCAATCACAGAGATACAGCTACTGATAGTTGTGCTTTCTTTTTCTTGTTTCATTGAAAAATTTACTGGGGAAGTCAAAGCATTAACAGAAGACAAGATGTCTTTAACATATGGCGTTTCTTCTGGGCTCCTCATGCCAGATTCCATTTGCCAAATATGGATCCTCTGAAGTCCGGTAGAAGAGAGAGAGTCAGTGTCCTGAGGCATGCCTGTGAGCTTGATGAATATTACAACACATAAAATAGCTGAAAAGACTCCTTCTTTTTCCAGATGATAGTGAAACAGAACGAGGATCCCCATCATTGCCATGCAGTGCCAGTGTGGTAAACATTGGAGAGGACGTGAAACAACAGAAAACAGGTTTTCAAAATTTAATATTTTATTCTGTGAAAATCCACTTGGGTGTGCTTACACAAAGATCAGGTGTCTTGTGTGCCTTTCCATCTCCTGTGTGCTGTTTAGCTGGGGTACAACTGGAAGGTGAAAGTAATCATACACTAGTATTCTACATACATAATCTACAACTACCTGAAAGGAGGTTGTAGCGAAGTGGGGGTCGGCCTCTTCTCCCAGGCAGCTAGTGACAGGACAAGAGGGCATAGTCTGAAACTGCACCAGAGGAAGTTCAGGCTAGAAATGAGGAGGCATTTCTTCACAGAAAGGGTCATTAGGCATTGGGATGTGCTGCCCAGGGAGGTGGTGGAGTCACCATCCCTGGAGGTGTTTGAGAAAAGACTAGACTTGACACTTAGTGCCATGGTCTGGGTGACATGGTGTTGTTAGGGCACAGGTTGGTCTCGATGATCCCAGAGGTCTCTTCCAACCAAATTGATTCTGTGATTCTTAAATACATGTAAGCATGTACTCTTGAGTGCTGTGAGATCATTAACTACTGCATGTGTCTGAAAATAATTTTGTGTCAAAGATGTGACTTGAAGCAGTCTGCTTTTGTTAAATGCTCAGCTTTTTAGTCTAGTTTTGTATTTCTATTCTTTTTAGTCTAGTTGCATATTAAACTTTTTCCCTCCTTGTTCCCCAACTTATCTTTTCAACTGCTTGCAGCTACCCAGCTGCTGTTCCAGGACTTCTGCTTCTTTTGATAAACTTCCTCTCCACAAATTCCTGAGATTGCATTCATTTCAATCTGTGTTCCCTGATAGTATTTGAAATTCAGTCAGTTCTGGTGCACTGGTATGCTCTGACTTTTCCCATAGTCTTTGTGAAAATTCTTATTTTCTAATGGGCATTTTCCTTTCCCTCTTGAGCTGTTAGGGGCACTGTACTGCATTTCGGAAGTCCTGTGTGATGATATGTTTTCCAGATTGAGACAACACTTGATGTGTTTTCTATTATTTTCCTGCTTCCAGAGCTAGAGGAGAACTGAAAAGCGTTCCCTATATGTAATATATATCTTTTTTGCTATCCTGGATAGCTGAAGAATTTCTTTTTAACACCTTTCCTTCAGATGCTGCAGGGTCTCTGATAAAAAAAATGTCATATTTGATTGCCACACTTGACTGTATTTTTAGTAATGTTTCTGAGCAGTGACTAGATTTAAAACACTGTCTGAGGCTCTTAGTGACTTTAAATTCTTACTAAAAGCAAGTGGGAGTTGGGACCTTAATCTTATAATGAAGATTCTAGTCTTTGCCTGTGATGAGTGTTCAGATCTGAAGAGTTTATTTTCATACTTGCTGTGGGCACAGCACAGACCGTGGACATTGAATGTGTAGGGTCAAATCTTCTGTGTTTGCTGGCTGTTGTATCTAAATACTGCTTTTTATTATTTCCTGCCCTAGAATCTAAACAGTGTGAAGAAGGAGAAAATGAGCAGGAGGAGAGCATTTCTGTTTTTTCAGCCTGCAGATAAACTTTCGATCGAATTAAAAGGGTTGCTTCCTAGCGTGTTACTGTATTTTTCACAGCATCATTACTTTTCTCCATTCATTCTCTTCCCATGTCATTGCTACTTTTTAGCTATTAGAGTTATTTCTCCTTGTATACATGCATGTATGTGAATCTAACAAAAAAAATTAAAAAAAGCGCTAAGACTTGCGTTCTCTCACTGCCCTCTAGGGCCTATAGTTTCAAAAAAATCTACAGTTGTGCTTACAGTTTTGAAAATACAAAACCTCCAGGTTTTGTTTGAAATCTTTTCTTGGACACTGTCTGTAAAATACAGTGTCTGTCCAAAAGGATCGGTATGCAGTATCACGTCTGTAAGTGTTTTGGCCATCCCCCTGAATCAATCTGATCAGACTACATACAGTCTGGTTTAACAAATGCCCAGGGCACACATGTAACTTTTTCATATGCTTTATACCCATTATCTTGTAAAGCTGCATTAAATTCACTCAGCACTGAGGCTAGTTTAAATATGTGTCCATTCTTCCCAGCTGTGCACACCAAACTTTTTGACTGAACTTCATGTCTTTCAAAAGACACAGTTTGTTTTGTGGAGGTGGGGTCTAATACTATTTTGCAACTTTTTCCTCTGGTAAACCCAAGCCTGGTGAGATTCACGTGCCAAGTTTTTAGTCATATTTAGGAGAGTTCTAGCATGATGGGGATGATTGTGTTGTAGTCTTGCATGATCCATATACTTTATCAGCTACAGGAGTAGGCAGAATGTTTTACTTTTTGTCACAGTAATCTCAGACATAACTTTTAGATTTCCAGCTAACTACAACAGAAGGAGCAGCTACGAAGGCAAAGTGGCAGAGGATTATGGGTTCGAATTATGAAATAGTGGTAGGTAAACTTTGATTCCTATTATTAATTGTCTTTTGATCTGTTCACCTGTTATGTTGCTAACATACAGATAGAAATGTTTGTGTTGTATTTGTTCCTTTATTTATAAAAATCTCTTGAGATTATTTTATTTTGATTATAAATTTTGAATATAGATATATGTTTTTCTGTGTTCAGTTTAGCAAAATAATCGCAGACTTCTTACATTACTGTGCCTATGAATGTTGTTTCACAGATTTCCTAGCTTCAAGTGGACAAATACGTATTAGATAAAAAATACTTAAAGTAAACTTCAAATATCCCATCATTAGCCAGAATTTGAGATATTCTACTCAGTCTGCATACTGAATGAATTGTTTGATATAATGATCTAAATAGTGCATAGGACATTTACTGTAGATACGGTTGAAAAGCAGTATCTGAGTTTAGGACTTTCTTTCAAAACTATATGCCAGAGCTGTAGTCTCTGCAAAAGTATGTATTATTAGAGACGTTGTCATACACAGTTCCCAGTTGTTTATGCTGAAGTGGTATGTGGTCAAAGTTTCAGTTTTTACCAGACTGTCCCCATTACACGTGACAATATTTCTGGTTTCTCACTTCTGGAATATTCACCTCATTGTATGTAAATTGAAATGGAAAGTAACAAGTATGGCAGTAAATATGTAAAAAGTAACCATTTCTTAATCTTATCTTAGGTGGCTGTAGTTAACAAATTTAGTGAAAGCAGTGGGTTAGGGATAAGCCTTGAAGCTACAGTGGGACATCATTTCATCAGATCTATCTTACCAGAGGGTCCAGTTGGACGAAGTGGGAAGCTGTTCAGTGGAGATGAGCTGCTGGAAGTAAGAAAAAAATACTATTTTATCTTAGTCTGCATTCGGTAAGATTTTTGAGCAGTGATTTGCTTCTCAGAGGTTATGACTTTGGGAATATAGTGTATCTAACTGCATACCAGCTGTAACCAGAAGAGCTTGAGCAGTTGCTTCCTGTGTGCTTGCGCCTATTTACATGAATGCCTATGCTCACATGCATTTCTCAGCTGATAACTGATTTTTCAGACACAGTTCAAGGTCACCAAAAAAGAATACGTAGCAAAAGTGTTAATAGGAATATCCCTACACAGGGAATGGACTAAACACCTGTTTACTTTGCTAAATAATTTTCTTACAATTAAAATGTGGATTTGCTTCACATGAATGCAAGAAACATGAAGTGACAGAGCGTGTGGTGTTTGTAGGGTGGTTCACACAATTTATGAGACTAGCCATTCAGTTCAAAACTGATCTTGGTGCTGATTCTGAACAGCAGATTGAGTAGAAGTTAAGAGTTGACAATGTCCATTAGTGTGGGTTTTTTTTCTTGTTTTGGGTTTTTTGTTGGTTTTGGTTTTAAATGAGACGATTAGTGAGTTGGGGTTTTTTTGCACCCATTTTTGTTCATTGTATTTCTAAAAACTGTGCATACTTCTAAACACTGTCTATTCTTTATTTATTGAGGTGAATGAGATCTCTTTGCTTGGAGAAAACCACAAGGATGTGGTCAATATCTTGAAAGAACTGCCTATTAAGGTGACAATGGTGTGCTGTCGTCCGATAGCTCCCTCCATCACTCATCCAGAAGTACTTGAGAGTCTGAGTCTGTCTGAGGTTCAGCTCACAGAAAAGGTATTTTGTTTTAAAAAAATCACTGAGAAAATGACTGTTTCCTCAAGAAAAAACATACAAAGTTCTTGTACATGTGGGCACATGGCTATGGCAAACTGAACTGTGTGTTCTTTAGAATCTGAATATATTTGGTTTGGTTTTGAACTTTGCTGTCTGGATTTGTGTTGTGCAGAACTGCGTGTGCATTCAGTGGCAGACACACTTCTGTCACTCATAAGTGCAAAGCTCTGGGTGGCCTGGTGTACTAAACATGTAGGAATGACCCATGTTATAGTTTACAGAACAATAGCATTTGTATGAAGAGAGACACAGTTAATTCTGAGTTCTGGGCAAGGCACCAAATTCAACTTAGAGTTGCTAAGCTTTTCGGTGAAACCAAGTGAAGAGCATACATGAGTGTGCATGTTTGTTTTTTCAAACGTTCTGACTCCTGTCAGTGCTACTATGTTTAGATCAAGGCATATTTTTAACTATACCATTTAATAACAGGTATTTCCTGTGTATTTGGATACACATACTAATGAAATTTTCTGAAGTTTTAAGTTTGATGGGAATTCCATTTTGCAAATATTTTTTCCAGTGAGTACTTTCATTTACTTGCAGCATAGCTATTTTGTTACAAGGGTATGTGAATTCTGTGCTAGGTTTATCAGAGTTGTTTGTTAACTCTGCTCCATGCTTGCACCTTCTCAGGGTTTAGAGGCATGTCACTTAGTTTTTAGCTTGTTCTTCGTGAACAGTTTTGTCTCTGCAAATTCAGACATTTACGTTTTGTTGGTGAACACTGACTGTTCTTCTCAGGCTCACATTGAACTTGGATTCATTAGCTCCTCAGACACAGAGGGAACAACTTTGGAAATAGCTGACGATGGTCAGAGTATGGAAGAGGTGCAAAGCTCATCTTTGGCGATGTGGGAAACAGAAGTACAGCACATTGAGCTGGAGAAAGGGAGTATGGGACTTGGATTTAGCATATTGGACTACCAGGTAACTTCTGCACTCCTTTCTTTGAGTAGAGGACAAAATACTTTATGTTGTTTGGATCCCTGTACTGGTTTTGGCTGGGATAGAGTTAATTTTTTTCAGTTTGTATGGGGCTGTGTTTTGGACTTCAGCTGAAAACAGTGTTGAAAATGCAGAGATGTTTTCATTATTGCTGAGCAGTGCTTACCCACCAGCGAGGATGCTGGGGGTGCAGCAGAATTTGGGAGGGGACACAGCTGAAACAGCTGACCCCAACTGACCAAAGGGATGTTCCATACCATATGGCATCATGCTCAGCATGTGCATCTGGGCGAAGAAGAAGGAGCAAACATTCGAAGTGATGACATTTGTCTTCCCTAGTAGCTGTTACATGTGATGTAGCCCTGCTTTCCTGGAGATGGCTGAACACCTGCCTGCCGACCCAAAATAGTGAATGAATTCCTTGTCTTGCTTTGCTTGCATGCATAGCTTTTGCTCTACCTGTTTGTCTCAACCCATGAGTTTTCTCACTTTTACCCTTCTGGTTCTCTCCCCCATCCCACTGGCAGTGAGTGAGTGAGTGTCACCGTTTAAGGCTGGGCCGGCTCTTAAAACGGGCGGCAGACGCTCTCTGTTAACCCCCTCCCTCCCCCCAGGAGGGGAAAGGACGGAGAAAAGGGAGAGAGACTTATGGGTTGGAAATTAAAACTACTTTAATAATACAACAATAATGAAAAAAAAAGTATAAGGTGTTAATACTAGTAATACTAATAATGGTAATAAGGAAAAGTATACAAAACCGGTACT